AAGTCCTCAGAAAATAACTTCATCAATTATCGCATTTCACATATCTTTACTGAAATATTATAATAAACAAATCGTATATAGAATTTTGAATCATTATCCAAGGTTTATACACTATATACAATCCCCCATTCTGATAATAAACATCACGTGCTCACTAGTGACTAGCTTCAAGATGAATTTCTTGGAGTTCTAGTTAGAAGTGAAGTCCATTCCGTGTCGGGTAGAGACAGATATCTCTACCTCAGACAATGAATGGACGGTTGCACATTAACAGAGGTTAAACATTCTCGTGAGAGACCGAAGTTTGTGGATTGGATTCCCCTTGGTGAGGGATTGTGGATGTGCACTGTTGAAGAATCCCATGCTAGAATAAAATGGCCATCTAGTGCTTCCAGATTTTCAATAGTGATCTAGCTTAGATCGATTCATGAATTCATTTAGTAAATAAAAATAGTCGACATAAGATGGGGGTTGGAGATAGTCAACAGGAAACCTTGGACGTACGTTCCATACTACTTGGTACTCGTTTGCAAGGTGTACCTCTACTCTTGAGGAAGCTGATGACCCTTAACGGACTCAATCCTGTGTCACTTAGCTTCACCACTGAGCTATCCTGGCAGTGACTGACTAAGATATATTTACAATTGATTCATCATCGGGTGGTAATCAATGTCATGTATATCAGTTCCTCCAACTACCATCTTATCTCAACATAGTACACTCAATGTTGAATCACCTAAACTGGTAACCGTATTACAACTTGATCGATAGGGAATCGATCTGCGCTAACAAGAACCTAACATACATAACACTGATCACTATCCAATGATCAATCAATTATTAATAAAAATCATCAAATAGTATTACTTAATATACAATGACTAGAATTGTTTAATACTAAACTATCCCTAAAATATTTTTTGTTTAAATGTTCAAAGGTCAAATACATCAATAGTGAAGTATCTAAAAAAAACCCATATAATTGTCATTTCCTATCTATTCTATTAGATATAATAATATTCATTTGTCAATGTGTGAATTGGTTTCAATGAAATGTCATGACAATATGATTTATGCCTATACCTATATCTATCTATCTATCTATACATTTATATCTGAATGTAATGATAACACATATATAAATAGATTTGTGCACATTTATACAAAAGTATATTGGTGTATTAGTACATTATTAGTCTAATACTTTCATTTGATATCTACATTATTTTTTGTAATATTAAATAATGTGACATGTTACTAAGTGATCCATTGATCATTTAATAAATCCATTTTAAATAAAGATCAGTTTCTTTGAATTAACATTTTTAAAACAACAACAACAACCACCACGACAACAACAACAACAAAAACAACAAGGAAAAAACAAAAAAGGAAAAAAACGAATTGATTATATAGTGTAAAAGATACCCCTTTTTTCTCATAAAAAAAAGAAAAAAAGAAAAAGAAAAAAAAGAGAAAAATTATAATTTTCATCCATTTATCTAATTGATTTAAACGATTTTATTGAGAATAATGAAAATGGAACAAAATAAAAGTCAAGGAATTTATAAATTTGTAAGTATATACATATATATTCTTTTAAGAAATATAATTCTTTTATATAAATATTGAATAGCTTCGAAGAAATAATACATCCAGTTATAGTGCTTCAAATCAACGTTTAAGTAATGATAATATAAAATGTAAGTCAATGGTATATTGTATTGTTGTGTACAATTCTATATGCATCCTGTGCTGATTGCTTTGATATAACCTTATGTCATAAGGTTTTTAAGTAAAGATGGATAGTGACTAACAGTGGAATCTAGTTTGATGCGTGTTTCATCCTATTTGGGACTTGTTGGTTGGATGTATTTGCATCCTAGAGTTTGTGTTCACTCTGGGACTCGAATTGAGTGCCGTTTATTTGAAATGCCATTGTTCTTAGGATGAAACGCGCATCCTGGATTCCATTGCTAGCCACTATCCATCTTTATTTAATTTCTATTCAATTAATCAGATTTAGATTAAAAAACAAAATGGTATCATATATTTATAGTTGCTATTAGTGATAATATTTTAATTCTTATTAGAAATCTACGTTTTCGTAAATAGGTAGGTCGATTTCGGTTCATTTATATCAGAATATTTTGCTACTACATTGAGTATCAAAGTTACGTTTTATGAATTGATGTATAATCCATCTAATGTTTTCAGTTGGATGCCGGTTCAACGGTTTAGAGGTTAATCTCTCGAGCACGAGACTGATAGGTTCTGAGTTCTAATTTCACAAGGTGAGGTCGTGGATGCTCACTTCTGTAGAGTCCTACATTGGGACGAAACGGCCATCCAGTGCTTCCAGGTTTTCTATAGTGGTCTAGCTTCCATGGACCTATGAATTCCACTACTAGATCTTAGTCATCATTGAAATTATGAAACTTATCTAGGTTAAACCGCCAGTGAAAACCTGGAGGCACTGGTTAGTTATTTCGTCCTAGTATAAGACTTCTGAATGGTGGGCACTCACAACTCTATACGTGGGTGTCGAACTAAGAACTTTCAGTCTTGTACATGAACGCTTAACTCCTAGACTACTGAAGTTAAACATTAGCACCAGTCTATGCCGCTCCAATAGTCTACAAGTTGGGTGTTCACAAGTGAGACCGAAAGCCCTGGGTTCGATTCCCGGCCACTAAAACAGAACGGTTACCCAATGATTACAGTTTCCCAATGGTGATCTAGCTTATGTTGGTCGATGATTTTGTTGAAATTTGGCAATCACCACAACCTCGTAATGACAATTTTAATTATATTGATACAATAACTGAATTTTATCGTTCTGGTCTCGAAATTTGAATGTTTTGTTATTTGATTTTTGAGACAAATTATGTTTTTAAAATTCTTAAATTTTAATGAAGCAGCCATCTAAAATTTTCTGATTTATGTAATTGATGATTAGGGATTGAATTGAATAAATCTTGAGGGCATTTACTTTCATAGAGGGGCGGCCAGACCAAAACATAACACAAATCCATAAAGTCATTGCCAAGTGGACTGAGCCATGTTGGTAGGTGTAGACTACCTGGTTGAGATCCGTGAGTTGGAAGCAACTGATGGTTAGAGACCTTGAATGACATGTCTCAAAATCGTTTGCAATCGCGCAGGTGCATCCACTCTTTGTGTTCTCCCAAATCCTAATCTTCTGAATTATTCATGCTCCTATTTATTTCCAAATTTATTTCATTGGATTATACTCCTTGAGTAATATCTTCAAACCCTAATGTTTCCGATTACTACTTATACTCTTACAACCTCTAACACGATGGGATTTGAATCGACAACTGCATCTCTGTGCTAATGTGGTATGGCAAATCGAGCTGATGTACGTACATACGCACGAAATTCTACGTTGTGACTGGCTAACTGACATATGACTGACTTCCGTATAGTAACACTAACTCTCATCTAATTAAAACGTTTTAAAATTTACAAATCATATTCTACATTTTAAATGAATTTAATTAGTAGTCAGATGAAGAGAATTTCACTTGTTATAACTTATTGACTTATCAAGTGTAGTATAATGAATGAGATCAAAATAAATCATAAATCAATAGAGGAGAACAAGTAGTTAGTATCAAGTTGAATGTTACGGAAGTAAATAGGATTCAAAATTAGCATTACTATCATATTGATATATGAAACACGAACCTTCAACTAAATGTTTCGACCTAGTTTTTAATACATGAAACTTTGAAAAGATACATGAGTTCATATTCATAATGATTAAATAACCTAATTAGTGTATACTTTCACTTTATGATTTACTTATAAATTTTTAGATAACTGTTATCTAGTGAAATGATATATATCTCTAGTAGATATCAACCTTTATTAAAGGATAAAAAGCATCTCTTATGATCTTAAGCTCAATTAATTTGAAACTTACTGGAATTAGTTGAAGAACCAAAGAAATTTAATAATTATTAGACAACCACTTCGTTATAAGTTTCAGGCTTCTAGGTAACACAAGCTAAAAGATCTATCTGATGTTGAACCTAGGGCCTTCAGATATTAGCGTTAGCATGGTATCATTGACCAATAGGTCAAAATCCGATGTTCCGCATTATCTTGAAAGCTGCATCAATTAGGGATATAGAGTAATCAACTTATTGTCATACTGGTATTAACTGTCTCTACTCCAAGATTGGTTGATTTTAGATTTTGAGTTTCATCTCTTATAATGTCCTTGAATTTGGGCCTGTAAAGTATTTAGAGATTTCTGATGTTATATGGTTCTTTAAGCGATGATAGTTTGTCAGGGAAGTCATTTACTAATTCCCATTAATGTTTAATTTGTATTATCAGGGGAAATAGACTAGATAAACACTTTCATTAGTTCCTAGTTATTGTCATTTCATGTCAAGTTATTTATAAAATACTGAGTAATACGAAATATTTCAATTGTATGATATAAACTTTGATGAGTTAGTAAGTATTTTATTTAGTTTATTTGAATACATAAATATTAGTACAAAGGGACACCGAATACATATGCGCGACATAAGTCATTCGATTTGTGTGAGAGCTGAGATATTGTCCGGCTGCCCGAACCAAAACAGGTAGTTTTCTTAGGGGGTCACATCCGGAGCCTTTGACCTAAACGTCTAATCCACAAGGGAGTGGAAATGAAGTCCTATGGTAACCGGTGACCGATAATTGGTTCATACACCATTTGTCCCCTCAGAATCTTGGAGCCCATGTGCATTATTGATTTGGAATCAGGGTTTTCCAACTCCCATAGGTGGATCTTGTATATCCACCAATCCGGATAAAGTGCTGAACATTTGTTTTTCATTATCTCAATTTTGTAAACAACACCCCCCACCCACATGAAGGCAGTGAATAGAACTTCTCTGACAATGAAATTAGTAAATAACTAAATGTTATTCACAATGATTAACAAAAACTATCACTATCTAATGTACTGTTGTTATAACTATCATAAAAGTGTATTTATGAAGAAAAAAAACAATTTCAAAATTTGATAATTCAATTCATGAATTAATTAAAGTTAGATCATCATGGAAAACCTGAAAGTATTGGATGGCCATTTCATTTGTAATTCGTACTACTCATCCACAATCCTATCCACAGGATTCGAACTCAATTTTTTCAGATTTTCTATGATAATCTGACTTTCATTGACTCATGATCTCAATCCTTCTGACATATCTATATGTATGTATTCGATAAACTATGGACAGATACCAAAAAAAAATTCATAACAGTTTTGTCATTTCTCATTTTGTACACACAAGTACATGAATAATATAATCAACATTCTATATAGTTTCTATCGAATATATACATATGTATACATTATTCTAAATGTAAATTATTGTTATGCATAATTTTTCGATTTTGAAACATTTACATGATTCAAGGTGATCACTACTTTTAAAGAATCAGTCATGCTCATATTATTATCATGAAAAATATGGAAAAAAACAACAAAAAAAACAAAAAAACAAAGCAACCCCGATATCATTTCGTATCAAAAGTTGTTATGTCATATCATCAAACACACACACACACACACACGCAATAAATGTCATCTAGTATCTATGTGCTTATATACTTATATTTAGTGTGCATGTATGTATGTTTGTATGTATGTGTGTGTGCATATATATTTAAAATAACCCTGAACTTGTCAATGATATAAATTGAAATATATATAGTAAGGTTACATGTATAAACTGATAGTCACTAATATCAAATAAAGTTTTCATGTGTTTCTATTTGTGATTAACCAAAAACAAAAACTAAAACAAAACAAGAAAAAAACCGAAACGAAATGAAACAAACAAAACAAATAACCATGTACCTTTTACACATGTGTATAAGTTTTATATAATCATGTACGAATAGTAGTATGAATGTTAATATATTCATTGAATTGTTATTATTATTATTATTATTACTACTATTCCTATTTCATTGAATATTCAACCTAAACTAAAATCATTGAATATACTAGTTTTCTCTATTCAATTGACTGAATACAATTCATTTGAATCTCTTTTATAAGTGGATTATTTAACAATCTAATTCAATGTATCTTATGTTAAATTAAATTAAATTAAAACAAAACATGCCTAAAACTTCAGTAAACACTAAAGAATCAAAATATTTTCCAAATTTTATTAAACGGAATAAAAGTGTTCATTTACAAAATCGTCATAATAGTAAGTATATTGTATTAATGTATAGTCATTTTGGGTCGGTTGGTTGGTTTGTGTTTAAGAATTAATGGGAAACTATTTTCAAGTTATTATGAGAATAGTATTGTTTGTTTTTTTGTGTGTAATAATTTTATAATCAAATAGAAGTCCTATTGTGGGACTCTTTACGAGTGTGCATTTACGATATCGCCTCTCGAGATTCCAACAAAGGATATATTGGTTTCGCGCGCATATGTTTAACCTCTAGACCACTTAGCTGGCCCGAATCCAACCATGTTAATGTTTAACTTCAACTAATGCACGAAATTGAGCAACACATCCACCATTGTCATCAGTCAGTTACTATCTCATAACAGACCCGATTGAACTCCACTAGTCACTGCTTCTCATTAGAACTCCAGGAAAATACCTCTTGAAACCAGTCACTAGTCAGCATACGATGATGATGATTATTATGAGAAGGGTGTTTTGTGGATATTATAGTGATTTTAATAGTTGAGATGATGAATCAATTGAAGCTAGATCACCATGGAAAACGTGGAAGCACTGGATGGCCGTTTCGTCGTAGTATGAGACTCCCCAGCAGTGCACTAATTATAATCATCATATGCTCATTAGTGACTGGTTTCAAGAGGTTCTAGTGCGAAGCAGTGACCAGTAAAGTTAAAGCGGGTCTGTTGTGAGATAGTAAGTTACTTAAGATAATGATGGATATGTCACTCGATTCTGTGGATTAGTTGAAGTTAGACATTAACATCGTCGGATGCCGCCCAGCTCAGTGATTTAAATGTTAAGCGTTCGCACTCGAGACTAATAGGCCTTGGGTTGAAATTTCTCGAGGCGGGTCGTGGATATACACTACTGTGGAGTCCCATACTAGGACGAAGCAGCCATCGAGTGCTTCCAGATTCTCCATGGTGATTTAACTTCAACTGACTATTAAATTAATAATTTTATGTTTTACCTATCTATGATACTGATCTTATTATGTAAAAAAAGAGATAGATTTGGGGAAATTGTGACGTGTTTTGTAAAATTCCATAAGTTCAAAGTGTATGAAGGATGTTTTTTTGGAAATTGTTGAATTAAATGATTTTTATCATGGAATGACCTTTATTAGACAATTACAGAAAATTAAAAGTCATTGAATAGTTGTTTTGTTTAAGTATGGGACTCATCAGTAGTAGTCATTCATGATCCCAATAAGAAGTGAACTCAATACCTTTATATTATCACGGTGTAAACTTAACCTTTAAACCATTGAGTCAGTATTCACTAGTTTATATGTCTAAACTTAGTTATTTCGCGGTATAGCAAAAATAATCTTCCAATACTATTAGTGGGTAAGTACCTCACATCTGACATGGTTGAATTCCATTGGTCATGACTTCTGGTTAGAATCCCAGGACTCGGCTCTCAGGATTAGGCACTAATAAACGAGACCAGGTCTCATACTACAATGAGCTAACTGTCCAATGTTTTAAACTTTTCTATTTCAAAAGTTACATCAAATGATATCTTTTCGTTTTCTAACTATTGATTCATATCAATACTATAACAGAAACTACTGCAAGCTGAATAATAATGGACAGATATTTCTCGTTTTTATGTGTTTATTATAAACTAATATAATCTATTGAATCATTGAAAACAAGAGTCTACTTACTATATCATGCTCATCAGTATACCTTGTCAATTTATTCTTTGATTGAATTTACTACTTTTGAGTATCATGTGACGTAATTCATATCTTAGTGACCAAATAAAATCGTTCAAAAACCTCTTTTTTTTAACTAGGTATTAATACCACAGTTGGACTTGATAGTTTCAAATACGTTGAGCATTAAGTTAAGAGTTAATAGTAATATTTTGTTATACCCTAATGAGTACTATTTCAACTTGTGTTAATTTACTTACTTACTTACGCCTATTACTCTCAGTGGAGAATAGACCGCCGACCAGCATTCTCCAACCCACTTTGTCGTCGGCCTTCCTTTCTAGTTCTATTCAATTTTTGTTCATTTTTCTCATGTCTGTCTTCATTTCTTGGTGTTATGTGTTCTTTGGTCTTCTTCTTCTCCTTTGGCCTTGAGAATTTCTTGTGAGGGCTTGTCTTGTGGCGCAGTTGGGTGCTTTCCTCAATGTGTGTCCTATCCACTTCCAACGATTCTTCCTGATTTCTTCCTCCGCTGGGATCTGGTTTGTCCTCTCCCATAGTAGGTTGTTGCTGATCGTGTCTGGCCAAAAGATCCGAAATATTTTACATAAACGGCTGTTAATTAACACTTGTATCTTCTGGTTAGTGGCTTTCGTAGTTCTCCAAGTTTCCGCCACACACAGTAGAACTGTCTTGACATTTGTATTGAAAATTCTGATTTTGTTGTTGGTTGGTAGACAGTTGCTTTAAGTTCCAGATGTTCTTAAGTTGTAAATATGCTGCTCTTGCTTTTCCGATCCTCACTTTCACACTTGCATCAGTTCCACCTTGTGTTAATTTAATATTCGGTTATTTATTTACTCTGAAGAAGTGACTTACATTAGGTCACGAAACATCATCAGAAATACAATCTTTTCTTAACTATTGAGTAAAACTTTGAAACTAATTTAATTCAAACGAATACAATTTATTCCATAATGTCTTGTAGATCATTTCAAAGTTAAAAGTGATAAGATTATTTTAAATAAGTAACTTATATTAAAGAGTAAAGAACTTTACATTGAACATTTTGACTTCTTGATTATTTGTTGAATTAGTTACTATGAGATAATATCATTAACAGATTTGTAATGAAGGGAACCATTATTTTGAAATTAAACAATACTTCCCGTATTGTTTACTATGAACTATAGGGATTAATATAGATTCAATTTTTCTACACCAATTTATGTCAGACAAGATTTCACAGTTAATCACTACTAGATAATAATAATAATAATATGTTCTATGTTTGTGATAATTGATAGAAATTGCTACACTTTGGTTTTGTATCTCTTATCACGTAGAAATATATAGTTTCTCAAAAAGAAAAGAAGCCATTGTTCATTCAAGTGGTTAGAGTATTCATCATGTGATATCGTTATTGAAAGTGTTACTACTAGAATACTTGTGATGGAGCTAATATCTACTGAGTTAAGAGTATTCAAATTAGTTGCTGATTGGTTCAAGTATTCATTTCTATCGGTTAGTCGGTAAAATTCAGTTAACGGGTAGAGATTTAAGTAGTATAACATTATTTACTCTTCAATAATTAATGGGTAGATTGTTATTACATTTGATTAAACTTATAGCAGATTATAAATGGGATTAATTGAATATGTGGTTTAATGTATATGACAGATAGTTCTCATTTCTTCTATTCTTCCATTGATTTATTCTATAAAATATTTTCAAAATGCATATATAAGTCAGGAAAAGTATATAAAACCTACTTTGTTACTGCCAGATTGACTAAGTAGCTCTCAGGATTAACAGTATCTAAATTGAATCACAATTGACTGAAAACCATTTGCTTTAACCAGTGGTTATAGTTACTAACACATTATGGGATCAACTCTCCAGACTATAGTCTACTTTCACAATTGATACTTATCTTTCAGTGTTCCTTTTATCTTATGGGTTGAAGTATGCGTTCTCGTGGCGTGAGTGTTGTTTACGAAATTGAGAGGACGAAAAGTGAATGTCCGGCGCTTTAACTGAGTTGGTGGACATGGAATATGCACATAAGAGAGTTGAAAAATCATGGTTCTAAGCCAGTGGTGCACATGGGCTCCAGGATTAGGTAGGAACAAATGGCGTATAAACCAATTGTTGGTGACCGGCTACCATGGGACTACATCTCCTCACGATTTTCCACTGCCTTGTGGATCAGACCTTCAGGCACTCGGTCAGTATCACAGCCCTCACACATATCAAATGAGATCTGTGTGGTGCATATGTATTTGGTGCCTCCTTTTACCAATATCTATGTGTTAAAATAAATAAATAAATAAATGAGAATAATAGTGTACTGTGTATTGTTGACGAATATCGAGAAAAATAGGTAATACGAAAACTTATTTACCAATAATTATCTACATATATAGTTGGGTTAAAGTCAAAGTTTAAGTATTTCAACTAATAAACCACAGATCCACGAGAAGCTTAAATTTAATTACAGCTCTAATGTTTTGGTATGAAATACTTACACAGTTTAAAGATTGTTTGTACTGACTAGTGTCATGTTTGTCTAGTCCTTAGTGTTGAATAAATTCCATCTATCAAATTGCAGGGTTGTCACTTGTGTAAGTGTTTTGAATGTTAGGTGGTTGGAAGTAGTTAGAGAGTAACGCTAAGTAGCAAGTTTCACCTTCATTTTTAAAGGAATTGACTCTCTCTGTGTAACTCAAACTTGTGTGACCCAGCTTCACTAAATCTTTGGAATAGACAATACAACGCCAAAGTATAGTGCACTCAATGTCAAGTTACTCAGATAATTTATCAAATCTCAACATGTTCGACAGAATTCAATAATTAATAGAAAACTAGACAAACACGATAGAGGTCACTAGTCAATAATTAATCAATTTACATATTTCAGTCCTATACTAGGTCAATAAAGGTTTGGTTAGTTCAGCGGTAACATCATTAGTTGTGACACTGGATAAAGCAGATTGAAGTGCCGTAGGGAATAGGAATTCTCTAAAGCTTGTTGGTATACCTTACTGGAGAATGCTTAACAATGAGAAACCTAGAATCAGGGTTTCCATTCGACCACTTCTAACTTAGTAACATCAAGAGTTGTTCACATAATCCCTTACTTTGAAACTTCCCACTTGGTTGATAATAAATGGAATAGTAGGAAACTAACACTTAGTGTACTTAATTTAAGTTTAGAAATAAGTATAAGTTCTTATTCTTGGTCACTCAATGAAGTTAATTTATCACCTCGGTTGATGAAGTATTTCCACAGAGAATTTATGGAACATAAAACTAGGATAATAACATTCGGAAAGACTATGAAAGC